TTTCCTCATATTATACACAGTGTGCTGCAGGATTGTTTTATGTGGTGCACACATACCACACAGATGTATTCTCTCATATCTAGGCCCAAATTTACCACTCACAGTTTATCAGAGCGAGCCGAGCTCATGGCGTAGATCTACGGTTTGGACCCTGAACATAAAGCCGTAGATCTACGGGATGGACCCTGAAAGGGTTAATATGGAGACTGATAATGTTGCACTTAATCTAATTTTACTAATATTTACATTACATAATAGAGCTTCATTCTAACAAAGCTATCTAAGGTTAGCCTAACTTTAACCCTTTACTAGTCATATATTTTAATTTAACCCTTTGACTGTCACAACCCCAAATCCTGAAGTGTCTGCTGGTGTTGCAAAAATATTTGATAAAAAAAAAAATTCTTCTTATGAAATGACAGAGAATCTTTTCCTGATGGTAATGACACCAAAAGTATGAAATTTGATGGAAAACTTAAGGAATTACACTCTCGTGAAGTTAGCGACCTCGGCGATATTTACGAATCGGCGATTTCACCCAATTTGACCCCTATTTTCGGCTAATTCCATTGCTCCAGTCGACCAAACTCATAACTATTTCTTTAGAACTCCATTTGTTCTATCGACTAAGTACAAGAAACTGCCCATTTACCTATTTCAACTACCCAATAAAGTGGTCAGAAATTGGCAATTTGGCTAATTTCATGCAAATTACAAAATATGCCAATTTCAATATAGGGTCCAGAATGAACAATGCAGACATTCCTGGCTCTAAAATAACCTTTTCTTTGTTCATCAGTCATGTCTCCAGGCCCCTCTGATATTACTCTTGATTTCTATTTTGAATTTTTATTCAAACAAAAAATAGAAGATTTACTGTTATGCAGACTACTGCAATATTGTAAAAATTGTACAAAATAACATCAACCCATTCATGACTGCATATCAGAATGGCTAGTTGGATATTTATTGGACAATGACATCATTTGTTTACTCTTGAACATGGGCAAAAATCAAACATTTCCCCTACTTTGAGCTCCATTTCAAAGTCCTTTTCATAGTAAAACCAATCAAAATCACCTCTATTTCTATAATATGTTTTCCATTCTATCAAATGTGACTACAAAAATGAGAATATAACCATAAAAACTATATGAAAATAGTATACCTCAAAGTCAGTGTTTTAATCCAAAAACACGGTCAGGTTTTTTTCTCATGCACTGTGTGCTGCAGGATTTTTTTATATGGTGCACACTGACCACACAGACCCATTCTCTCATATGTGGGCCTACCAGCTTTGTCCTGCTTGATTTGAAGCCACTAGAATTTTTGTGTATACATACGTCAAACACATTGGCTTGTAAGACGTATATATATGACCGAAACAGTCAAAGGGTTAATGATGTTCAGACACGTTTTTATAGTCACAGTAGAAAAAATAGTATAAACTGTTAGGCAAAATAAACATTACTAAATGTAGGGGTCATACAGTGCCTAAGGGAATGGGAGGCTTTCAGGTTTGATCTGATGAAGGGGAGCACAGGTCCAATGCCTTAGATTAACCCTTTAGGGTCCAAGGCCCAAATCTGGAGTCACGCACCAGTGTCCAAGAATTTTCAAAAAAAAAATTTGTTATTTTTTCTTGTGAAATCGTAGAGAATCTTTTTGTGAAGGTAATAAAACAAAAAGTACGAAATTTGGTGGAAAATTGATGAAATTATGCTCTCGCGAATTTTGATGTGTCAGCGATATTTACGAATCGGCGATTTTGCCGACTTTGACTCCCATTTTAGGCCAATTACATTATTCCAATCAACCAAATTCTTAGCTATTTCACTAGTATTACTTCTATTCTATCGATTGAGCACAAGAAATCGCCAAGTCAACTGTTTCAACTACAAAATAAAGTGATCGGAAATTGTTAATTTGGCCAATTTAACACAAAGTTCAAAATATTCCAATTTCAAAATAGGGTCCAGAATGAACAATGTAGGCATTCCTGGCACTAAACTAACATTTCCTCTGTTCATTAGTTATGTTTTGAGGCTTTACAAATAAATTCCATTTTGATTTTTTATTCACATAATGAATTTTTATTCACACCAAAAAATAGAAGATTTACTGTTATGCAATACTGTAATAATTGTATAAATATCATCACCATATTTGTGAATGTATATTAGACCCACCAGCTGACGTGTATTAGACGTGTGAGGTCGTTTGTTTACTCTTGAATATCGGCAAAAATTTAACATTTCTGCTACTTTGAGCTCAGTTTCAAGCCATTTCCAGTGCTAAAACCAATCAAAATCATCTCTATTTCTGTAATAATATGTCTTCCATTCTATCAAATGAGACCAAGAAATCGCAAATACAACTATAAAAAACATACGAAAAAACACTGCAAAGTTGCTGTTTTAATCGAAAAATCATGATTTCATTTTTTTTCTCTCATTATACACAGTGTGCTGCAGGATCTGTTTTATGTGGTGCACACATACCACATAGATGTATTCTCTCATATCTAGGCCCAAATGTACCACTCACAGTTTATCAGAGTGAGCTGAGCTCATGGCGTAGATCTACGGTTTGGACCCTGAACGTAAAGCCGTAGATCTACGGGATGGACCCTGAAAGGGTTAAGAGCCCTTCACCAGCATCAAGGAACTTCGCTTGATGGGAGACCCTTGCTAAATGGTCAAGTTCTGGTTATTAAAACGTGACAGCCACTTGATTATGTTCTTTTCTTCATGTGTTCATTTGTTCCTGCATAATTATAAGAGAACCAATGGACAATTTATAAAATGGTTACATAGTTTAGTTAAAAAAGTACTTAACTGATGTGTTTTTGTAAACAATGGAATGTTACAGGCATTTGTCTTGCACCACCATTTAAACATACTCTTATTTGCACATTTAAAGTTATGTTGTAAAAATTTTTTCGCAATGACGAATAAAATAAAGACTGTGGAGCAAGTAACACACACACTGTACACACTGTCAACCTGCCATTAGGTCAAACTTGATCTTGAATATGTTGTATCTTGCTTAAAGGCTGCATTAAAATGTGGATAACAGTTCTTTACACACACAATGTACAGTAATGTGAAACATTAAGCCAACATATAAATTAGTAAAAGGAATTATTTGGACAGTTTTTTATGACTAATGTATAAAAAGTCATTACAGTGGACCCCCAGTTCGCGATATTAATCCGTTCTGAGAGCTCATCGTAAACCAAAATTATCGGAAAGCGAATCAATTTTCCCCATAAGAAATAATGGAAATCAAACTAATCCGTGCAAGATACCCAAAAGTAGGAAAAGAAAAACTTTTACCACATGAAATATTAAGCTTAATGCAATAGAATAATTACAATAACAATAGAATAATTGACACTTACCTTTAATGAAGATCTGGTGATGATTGATGGGATGGGAGGAGGGGAGTGTGTTGACCCTATTGTTTAGAAGGGGAATCCCCCTCCATTAGGACTTGAGGTAGCAAGTCCTTTTCCGGGGTTACTTCCCTTCTTTTAATGCCACTAGGACCAGCTTGAGAGTCACTGGACTTCTGTGGCACAACATATCTGTCCATAGAGGCCTGTGCCTCTCGTTCCTTTATGACTTTCCTAAAGTGGTTCACAACATTGTCAGTGTAATAGTCACCAGCACGGCTTGCAATAGCTGTGTTAGGGTGATTTTCATCCATAAAGGTTTGCAGTTCAACCCACTGTGCACACATATCCTTAATTTTTGAAGTAGGCACAATGGATTCCACAACTGGCATAGGCTTCTCAGGGTTAGCCCCAAATCCTTCAAAATCTTTCTTAATTTCCATATTAATTCTCACCCTTTTTACCACAGGGTTGGCACTAGAAGCTTTCTTGGGGCCCATGGTGACTTATTTTTCAGAAACAAGCACCAAAAACAGTGATAATATGGAATGTACCGAATGTATCCTTATATGCGCGCACACTGGCTGGCTTGTAAACACTGGCACACACGGGGTAGTTCAGGCCACACGTGGACACGTCTCGTACGAATCATATCGCATACCGGGTTTTGTAACGGGAACCGAGGCAAATTTTTTGCGATATAATGCATCGGATACCGGATTTATCGGATACCGATAGCATCGCGAACCGGGGGTCCACTGTATATGTTTACTCACAGAATAAAGTCACTTTAATTCAAATAGTTTTATTTACATTTGAAATACCGTAGTGTGAAACAGTTTTATTTTACTTACTGGTACCTTTTTCTTGAAGTTGGTGAAAGGTTCTTGATCCAAGGAGTTAGAGCTACCTTCCCCTTTCTTCATCAAAACTGATTACTTCATTTTGCAGGGGCTGTATGGCCCCTACAGGTTTAGTGCTTCCATATGAATATATATATTATAATCAGAGAAAGAGGAGGCAATCAGGTTCAAGGCAAGGGAAAAAAATACATCCAGGTCTTTGGATCAAGGCACCTCCAATGAGGGGGAAATATAATACATAATTAAATGATTAATAATAATGCTCACACCTCTCTCTCTTTGCCACTGCAACTCAACTGAGGATATGGGCATACCAAAGTCATGCTCTTTCAATTATTTTCTTGTTTTTCAGTTCAAGTATCAATTTTTTTACTAGTATGACACCACTATATTTACATTTTTTTCTTTTTGTAAGAATTCAATTTTTCTTCAAAAATTGAATTGTTGGTGAAAGACTGAACATGTCCAAAATGCTTTGCATAATAAAGGGCTTTCTATAGTTATGTATATGTCAGCCATCTTAATTGTATAATATACTGAACTCCACTTTATAGAAATAAAAGTTTGTTTTTCACCACCTATCTGATCCTGTGGGGATCAAAGATGTAGATATGTATACTAAATACTGTATATTAAATTATTTACTAGCAGAAATCTGACTGGTATTTAAATGCTATACAACAGATATTTACAGAATTAGAGAAAATAAAAAAAATAACAGATAAATAACACTTAAAAAATTAAATACATGTATATATTTCAAGATGCGAGAGAACACGGCAAGAAAAAATATTAGATACAGTTTTTTGGGAATTAATTGTATATTCTTTATAAGAATTAGGTTGACAAACTCTATAAAGAAAAAAACATTCTATCAAAGGATGAGTATAGATCATTATCTTACAAAAAATCATGGTTGTGTTTCTTCCAGAACAATATAGCAAATGTTGGCCATATTGGTAATATTTTCAGATCCCTCTGTAACCTGTACCATATTGTATTCTTGCTCATTTTCCAGTGTCTCTACACTGGCTCCCTCATATGTTGTAATTGTCCTCTCCTCCACCTGAGCACAGTGTTGGTGTTGGTAAATTTGACAAGAGTCACCATCTTGGTACTGTTCTTCAAAAAGACCTTTCTGTCCCTCCTCATAAAGTACATGCTGACCAGTGTGCTCCAAATCATATTTACTCTGCTGGATTCCAATCCCTTCAGTCTCCTCATTATGAGGCAAATTCTGGGATGCGCTTGAACTTCTATGTTGCCTTTTGCGCAAGCAGTTATTTTCTTGTTGATGACGAGCATAACTTTTAGATAGTGTGTCCTCCCAGGCTACACCATGTTTCTTTATCAAGTGGGTCCGTAGCTTTTTACGGTCAGCATAAGCTTTTGTACAGTAAGTACATTCACTCATTATTTTCTCCATATGCCGCCTTTTTTCATGCTCTGTCATATCACTTTTACGCTTGAAAGTCTTCCCACATTGTTGACATGTGTAGATCTTAGTACTGTGAACATATATTCTATGTTGACGCAGTTGGTGATATTTTTCAAACTCTATATGGCATTTAACACATGGCCACTTGTTGTTAGCATGTTCATAGGAAATATGGCATTTTAAACTTGATTTTACGTTAAATTTCATAGCACAAAAATTGCAGGAAAATCTTTTTTGATTTTCATGCATATTTGCTATATGTATGTCAATGTACTTGGCACTGTACATCTTACCACACTCTTTACATTCTACTGGTGGCAACACATTTAGGCCATGCTTTTCCTGCATGTGTTTCTCCAGCTGGTTACGTGTCTTAGAGTGGTATATACATATTTTGCATCGATGCTTTAGTGGATACTTCGGAGATTTCTTGTGCACTTTTGACATGTGAAGATGAAGGGATCTTATTCCATTTAGTCTCCTACCACAGAGATTACACTCCACCATCACTAACCCATTACCTTCACCTACTCCACACACATCCCCATGGGATGAACATTTGTGTCTTACTAGCAAGAGGCGATTAACAAAGGTATTTCCACATACACGGCACACAAAACTTTGGGTTTTGTCAAGTTTCTTCCCCGAAGCATTTGCCTGAAACTTGGGCACTTCAGATTCATTTTGTACATCTAAATCTGAACCAATTGCCTTGGACATATGTAAGCGATTGTCAATAACTCCTCCATACCCATCTTTGTTCAAAATAACAACAGAATTTTCATGACATGTATCTACATGGTAATTCAGATCTTCAGAGCTACAACAAATCTGGTTACACAGTTTACATGTAACTTTAGTTTTAGCCCTCAGGGTCCTTGGTAAAGAATTAATACCAGGTGAAGGCACCAATTTATTATCTTTGATTACCTTGGTCTCACTCATTTTTACTGATTTTGAATGCTGAAACTGTTCATGTTTTTCTAAGTCACTCTGTCTGATGAAGGACTTTTCACAAATACTACAGCACAATTCTACTCTACAATCTTTCTTTGAATTCTCTTTTTCAAGCTTAACAGTGTCCTTAGTTCCTATATAATTATGAAAATCATCTGGTACTCGTAAAGACTGATTTTCAGTGTTTATTTGTGATTGCTCTTCTTTTCCACAGTCTATGATACGTTGCATTCCCATTTCTTCACAAGTTATTGCATCATTATCTTGTATACTGTTGCTATGTACCATATCACTCACTGAGCTTTTACCATATTGATCATGCCACATTACTTCACTTTTAATTTGTATTGGATTTTCCATATGCTCTCTCTCACTTATGTTCCTCTTATTCATCAAATTTGCATCCTCTAAGACAGACGACAAAAAATCTTCATCAACGACCATATTGTGGTACTGCCGCAAATGCACCACAAATTCATCGTGTAGTGAAAAATTGCTACTGCATGCAGCACACTTATGAGCATTTGTCATCTCATATTGAAAATTCTGTCTTAAATCCTCATTCTGCTTCACATTAAACTGTTGTATTTTCTTTGCTAGAAGCGTTTTCAGTGTTGGCTGTAAATTAAACCATCTCCATTTCTGGTCTACTCGATGGACAGCAGCTTGGTGAAGATTCCATTCATCTTCACCATACAAATCCATTCCACAAAATCCACATATTCTCATTTTATTATAAGAGTGCTCCTTTTTCAATCTCACCTTTGCCATTTTCCCATCAATATTATTCAACAAAGAATGACTCTCTTTTACCATATCTGGTTTTGGTAAAATGAATCTGCACTTTCTATGAGTGGTATGAGAGGACTGCAATGGCTGTTTATTTTTTAAAATCTGTAATATTTGGTTTTTCTTTAAAGCTTTATCACTGCCATTTGAACTAACAGTAACTGTTAATAATTCACTGTCATCATCAGGCCACAGCTGCTTCATCTGTGAAATAACTGATAATAATCTCTGGTATACTGCATCGCCATCTGAAAGTAGAGCATAGCATTGTCGACACACACTAATTAAATTGTCATTGGTTCTTCCAGTGGCAAGTAATGGAGAGGATATGCCTAAGCACTGCAAGAGAGAAATGGGATTTAACAAACTCAATGGTAGTGGTTTGTTAAGTGATAACCAAGTGTTCCCTTTGCTCCTTTTTAATATATGTCTGCAAAAACAACAGCTATGGTTACTACCATCCTGTGTTTTACAGTTTACATCATTAATTTCGCTCACTGTTTTGTTGTTAGAAGTTTTCATAATTTCATTTACCGGCCTATTGTTTTCTGCAGCAATGTTGTTATCTATACCAGTTAATTCATCAAGTTGCCTTGAGATTAAAGCTTCATCATTGTCAGAGTAATGAACAGTGTTTTCCATGAAGTTTTGTCGACCAATTGAAAATTCATTATTTACATTTTTTAATTTTTTATTAACTCTTACTTGAATTTGTGAATATGTAGAACATGGGAAAACTTTGTTAGCATTTTGTGGTGTGGAAAAATTTCTTGCCTTTGAAGAATTACTGACTTTTCCGACCTCCATTTCTCTATTTATTAACATAGTGCTAGAAGGATCAACACAAGTACCATTCAGTCTTGGAGAATAATTTGCAGATTTATTACAGAGGGGTACTGCCAATATGTTTTTTGAACTGTGTTTAATGCTAATTGAAGCCTTTCTCAAATCAGATGCAATATACTCTTGGCTGTCACCTACAATGATGCTCCGAGTCTCGGCAGTAAAATCTTTTGTTTCTAAAGAAGATACATTTACACAAGACAAGTTACCATCACTACTAACACAGTTTTGTCCACCATTCAAAGCATCATTTGGATGACAGTCATTAATGCTAATAGTAACCAAGTCTTCTTGACTGTTACTGAGGTCACCAATACATATATTGGTTATGCTTAGACCTGAGGTTTGTTCAAGCTCACCAAGTTCATCAATGTGTGTTTTCTCCATAACAGTTTCTAAGTTTTGTTTGGGTTTAACAGGTACATCTAAGTGTGCTTTACCCACAAAAGCTATGTTTTGTTCTGGCTTACTTGGAGCCTCATCATTCATGTCAACCACAACAGTTTCCAATTCCTGTTCCTCTTTGCCAAGAACATTACAATGTTTGACAACCATGACAGATTCCGGATCTTTTACATGCTTGCTCGAGGTTTCTTGAACATCTTCAGCACTCATGGTTCCATTGTCCACCTTGAAAGAAAAAAAAGTAGCCTAATGCACACATAAGGAAAACAATAATTTTAAGGTCGCATCATTTGTCTTTTTATTATTTGTAAAGTATTAGAACCTTCTCATAAAATTACATTTTAACTGAATGTAGCCTAGTTAAAAATGTATTCACATTTCAAGTAAATTTTTTATTTTTTAGTATATGAAGAGCTTTCAGAACCCACAAATATGGGTCCCTGATATGTCATATTACACAGGAAGCTGGAAAATTCTGGTCAACCAGAATTTTTGCAAAGACTGAAGGGAAGACACATGGTAGATCTAGCATTGTAAACTTGGTATAATAAGCTCTCCTTCCAATGTACTGTATACAAATTACTAGTTATAGAGAAAACTTTGTTGGGCGATGCTGAATCTTACTTTTAACTGGCCCAAATTTGCTACTGAAATCTGTAAACTGTACTGTATAAAGCAGATCATTTTCACTAGGTCAGCATACTGGGTAGGTACAGAGCCCTAAAAGTATAGATGTCAATGAAGGTGGTGATAATGTGTCACAAAATCGTAATGTGAAAAAAAAAGTTATATACTGAAAATTTTAAGACAGGATTGTGGAATTTATACATTCAGCAAGAGAGAAGATGAGAATGAGAGAGTAAGAGATGAGAGAAAGAGAATTGTTATTCCACAATAATGTAGCAAATATTTGCTATATCAGTGACATTTTCTGTTCCCTCTATAACTTCTACCATATTATACTCTTGTGGATTTTCTAGTGCTTCTACACCAACTTCTTCATACTCTGTAACTACTGTTTCTTCCACTGGAGTGAGTTGCTCCTGGGAAATTTCATGAGGGCCACTATCCTGGTATTGTTCAGATGGGTTTTCTTTCTGTTCCTTCTCATAGTGGACATGCTCTCCAGTGTGTTCCAAGTCGTGTTTATTCTCCTGGACCTCCATCTTTTCAGTCTCCTCAAAAGTTGAATTCGGGGATGTATTTGAACATCTCGGCTGCTGCTTATGCATGCAGCTATTTTCTTGTTGATGACGAGCATAATTCTTAGATGGTGTGACCTCCCAGGATGTACTATGTTTCCTTATTATATGAGTCCGTAGCCTTTTATGATCTGGAAAATCTTTTAAACAATAAGTACACTCGCTCAGTATCTTCTTGTGCACATTTTTTCCATGTGATATCATATCACTCTTACGCTTGAAAGACTTCTCACACTGTGAACACTGATAATTTTTAGCACTGTGAATGTACATGTTATGCTGTTGCAACAGATGATACTTTTCAAACTCAGTATGACATTTATCACATTGCCACTTCTTGTTTTCATGTTCATCAGAAATGTGATGCTCTAAACTTGACTTCGTCTTAAATTGCATTGCACAAAAGCTACTCGACATTTTTTTCTGATTTTTACATATATGTATATCAATGTCCTTGTCGCTCTGCATCTCACCATGTTCTTTACACTTAACTGGTGGTAACATATTCACACCATGTTTTTCCTGCAAGTGTTCTTCCAACTGGTTAAGTGTCCTGCAGTGATGTATGCACATGTTACACTGGTGCTGTAGTGGAGGATTGTATGGTTTATTGTGCACTTGAGACATATGAAGATGAAGGTATTGTATTCCATGCAGTTTCCTACCACAGATATCACACTCCATTATTTCCAAACAATTTTCTTCAAACGCATGACATGAACGTTTGTGTTTTACCAGCATGATGCGGTTTTCAAAGGTGTCTCCACACATGTTACACTTAAAACTTTGGATTTTGTTAGGTTTTTGCTTTAAGGCAAATTTAGATTCTTTATTTACATTGTCTACATCTAAATTAATGGTCTTTGACATCTCTACAACATTGTCATTGTCTCCTCCATAATGATCTTGTAGAGCAACAGTGTTTTCATGGCAAGTATCTCTGTGATTATTAAGATCTTCAGCGTTATCACAAATCTTGTCACATAATTTACATGAAACTTTAGTTTTAGTTGAGTTTATTGGTAATAAATGGTTAACACCATGTGAAGTTTTCAAATGACCTTTAACTCTCATTGTTTTACTCTCATTGACTGATTCTGGATGATGTAACTGCTCATGCTTTTCTAGGTCCACCTGCCTCATGAATGACTGAGTACAAATCCTACAACATAAATCTGTTCTACTTTCTTTCCTAAAATTATCTTTATGAGGCATTATAGTTAATTTATTTCCATTAGTTCCTATATAATTGTGACAGTCATCTGATACCGGTAAAGCTGAACTTTCACTGTTTCTATGTGGTTTTTCTCCCTTCCCATTATGTAATATGTCTTGCTTTCCAGCATCTTTACAATTTATTGTATCATTATCTTGTATACTGTTGGTATGTGCTATGTCACTTGCTGAACTTTTTCCTCCATCTTGATCATCTGACATCACTTCACTTTTAATTTCAATTGGATTTTCAATATTCTCCCTGTCACCATTGTTACTCCAGTCCATAAAACCTGCATCATCTGAGATGTAAGACCAAAAATCTTCATCAATGATGTATGACAAAAATTCTTCATCAATGACCATATTGTGGTAATGCTGCAGATGGTCCACAAACTCATCACGTAGTGAGAAAGTTTTACTGCATGCAGTACACTTCCGTGTATTTGTCTTTTCATATTTACCATTTGCTGAATCCTCTCCCTGTCTTTTATTAACCCCATGTATCTCCTTTGCTAGGAGCATTTTGAGTATTGGCTGCAGATAATACCACCTCCATTTTCGCTCTACTCTGTGAACAGCAGCTTGGTGGAGATTCCAGTCTCTTCCATACAAATCCATTCTGCAAAATTCACATATGCGCATCTTATTGTTTGAACATTGTTGTTTCAATATCAACTCTTGCATTTTTCCATCAACATTACTTGACACTGGATGGCTTTCTTTCACCATGTTTGGGAAAGTTAAAATGGGTCTGCACTTTCCCTGGGTATTCTTTAAAGATCTGTCATTTTCATTTAAACTGAAAGGAGCTGTTAAGTTTTCACCGTCATTATCAGACCACAGCTGCTTCATATTTGATGTGACAGATAATAATTTCTTGTACACTTTATCACCTTCTGAAACTAGAGAATAGCAGTATTGACACAGAACAATAGACGAGTTCCTCTTGGTGCTTCCACTAGAAGGTAATGGAGAGGATATTCCTAAGCATTTCAAGAGAGAGGTGATATCTAACAAGCTTGATGGTAATGGTTTGTTAAGTGCCAAACAAGTATTCTCTTCATCTTTCTTTAACATATGACTGCAAAAACAACAGTTATGTCTATTTCCATCCTGTGTTTTGTAGTAGGCATTGTTAATTTTACCTACAGTTTTGATTCCCCTTTTAGACATCTTGTTTTTTGAAGCAGTGCTGCTATCTACATCATTTAGATCAGGTTCATTTGATATTAAGTCTTCTTCATTGTCAGTAAAACTTCCTTGACTACTTGAATGTTCATTATCTAAATTTGTAAGATTTTGTTTATCAACTTTGATGTTGGCTTGTGAAACTTTAGAACAGGGTAAATGTTTGTTAGTATTTTGTGGTGGGGAAAAAGCTCTGGCTTTAGAGGCGTTACAGGCATTTCCATTCCTCCTGTCTCTAGATATTAATTTAGTGCCAGAAGGATCAAAATATTTACCACTTTTCCTTAAGGAATATCTTGTATTAGTATTATATATTATTGGTGCAGCACCATTATCCACAGCAGCCAATTCATCATGCTGCTTAACGCTTAAGACTTCACCACTGCCAGCTGAATTACGAGACTTCTTGGAAAGATTTCCTTGGTTAGTTGAAGGCTTGTTATCTAAATCAGTAAGATTCTGTTCATCATTAGCTTTTCTTCGTTTACGTGATAAAACTTTCTTAGCATTTTTTGTAGGAAACACTCTTACCCTTGAAGAGTCACAAGCTTTTCCATCATCCATCTCTCTAGTTATTAATACAGAGCCAGAAGGATCAACATATACACCATTTTCAGTTAGGGAATTGTTTGCAGAAATATATTTTTTACATGGAGCAGTGTCATGCACAACAGCCAATTTATCATTAAGCTGTGTTGTTATTAGAACTTCATCACTGCCAGTTGAATCAACAAGTGTTTTTTGGATTAAACTTCCTTTACTGGTTACAGGTTCATTATCTAGCTTTTTGCGACTGTGTTTAGCCTTCACCTTCGGTTTGACATGTGGAGATGTAGAACATGATAAATGTGTGTTACCATTTTGTAGTGTAGGAAAGGCTTTTTCCTTAGGAGAGTCACTAGTTCTTCCACTGTCCATCTCTCTTGTTATTAATATAGTACCAGAAGGATCAACATAAACACCACCTTTGTTTAAGGAATAGTCTACAGAAACATTACGAATTGTGCGTGGACCAATGGTTTTGACAACAAGAGAGCCCCTCTTTTTAATATTAACTTTGTATTACTCAAAGCACTATCTTGGCCAATATTTGGCAGCTTAGATGAAACAATTGGCAAGCCATTACTTGGAGCACTAACAAGATTTTTTTTTAATCTAGGTTTATTCCTCATTAAAGCAACATTTTTCAAATCAGATGCAATATGCTTATGGTCATCTGCAACACTGATGTCTTGAGTCTTACTTGTCAAATCTTTTTTCACCTTATTACCAACAGCAGTGTGTAAAGAAGGCATATTTACACTAGAGGGGCTGCCATCACCACTAGCACATTTTTTCTTTTCATTCAATGTGTCAGTTTGAAGAGAATCAAATATGTTGATAGTGACTAGCTCTTCTTGAGTGATATCAAGGTCACTAATACTGATACTATTCATACTTGCATCAGAGTTTTGCTCCTGTTTGTTAAATACATCAGCATCTCTTTCCTCTACATTAGTTTCTATATTCTCTCCATTTTTAACAGGTGCATCTTCATGTGTTTCATTCACAATTGTTTCAATGTTTTGTTCAAATCTACCAGGTGCATTAATATGTATCTCTTCTACAACCATTTTTATATTTTCTTCATTTTTGCCAGGTGCATCAATGTAAGCTTCCTCCACAACAGTTTCCATATTTTCTTTACACCTGTCAGCTGTGTCAATGAGTTTTTCCGTTGCACCTATTTCCATTTCTTCAAGTTTGCCAGGTTCAACCGAGTGTGTTTCAGCTACATTTGTTTCTATGCTTTCTTCCTTTGTGTTAGGGTCATTACTGTGTGTTTCAGTTACAACTGTTTCTAGGTTTTCTTTAATTTTATCAGGTGTGTCACTGAAGATTTCTGCCACAACCATTTCTAATTTTTTTTCAGGCTTGACAAGTGCATCAATGTGTGTTTCTTCCACAAAAATTTTTAAGTTTTGTTCGCATTTAGGAAGTATCTCATTGTGTGTGTCCTTAACAAAAGTTTCTAATTCTACTTCAATTTCACTAAGTTCATCAATATGTGTATCCTCTACAACAGCTAGTGAGTCCTGTTCAGGTTTAATGGGTTCATCAATGTGTGTTTCACCCACAAGAGTCTCTGTGTTTTGTTCTTGTTTACTTGGAGTTTCAACATGCATGTCAACCACAACAGTTCTCAATTCCTGTTCCTCTTTACCAGGAACATTAGAATGTTCACCAACCGTGACAGATTCTGGGTCTTTTACATTCTTGCTCGAGGTTTCTTGAACATCTTCAGCACTCATGGTTCCATTGTCCACCTTGAAAGAAAAAAGTAACCTAATGCACAAATAAGGAAAACAAATAAATTTAACATATTTATAAAAATTCTTAGCATAAAAATCTCTGGTAAAGTAGTGTAGCACATGAATTAGAAACATTGGGAACTATATTTGCACGGGAAGTTGAAAATTCTGGTCAAACAGAGTTTTTACGCAGAATGAAAGAGAAAAAAAAATGGGTACCTGTACATCCTGGTGTGGCAAGCTGCCTCTCCATCAGTTTCAACTTACTAGAACTTACACAGACCAAAGCAAATTAGTAAACTTAAATTTTTTATATGATCCAGCTTTGCTATTAAAATTTATACAGCATACAACCTCTAAAAAAAATCTACCATAATAAAATCCCTCTCTTAGGAATCCATCAATATTTTACATCCACATGGCACAGCATCATAGTTAATCATGTACAGTATATCAGAGATTTATTAGTTTGGGTATAAAAAAATTATTTCCATATATTTCCAAACTATAAACTTAGCTATAAATTCTGCACATTATATAAACATGTTCATTCAATACATAAATTATGAAGAAAATTAAAATTTTTGTGTACCAGCGAATTAAAAAATATGTAGTCTTGCATATATATATAATCATTGGATTATCTAAGGTTTATCTAGTACTACTCACAAGAAGCTTCATCAGTCATCAAAGAAGTACACAGCTTTCCTAGGGTAGATAACTTGAAGCATCTGCCCCATCAACACATGAATCACTGAGGAAAACCCAAGAAAAATGCCATCGATAGTGCACAGGTTTGCACATAGGTTAGCATATACATTTAAAGGGGCAACATATTTGAGAAAATTAGAATAATCATCAGCTTTGTGCAAAGTTCCTGTGAGATGTTGCCACAGTTCAAGCATTAACAGATAAGCACCCACACAGGACAACCGTGTCGCCAACAACAATTTTACTAATAACCTCATTCGGACCATTAATTTTGCAAGAGTTAGATGCTCATAAAACAATTGTGTCATTCCCAGCAGGTTCTACAAGGGGTTACATTGGAATATGCCCACAACACGTCAAAAAAATAGTTAATCCAGTGCTTGATCCAGCCTCAAGAGATCCTCCTTTCAGATCAAGCCTTTCCATGATACATGCTTGCCTCCCTCCAGGTTAACTGAACCTTCAGACATCCATACCCTAAGTGGAGCTTCAAGAGGTAATGTACTCTAACAGTGAGAGAGAACAATCGCCAAGTCCAAAGTGTAGGGTAAGAAATTGTCAGCCAAACTTCTGGTGATCGATACAATCAAATTACCTGATAACCTCATTTGTTTGAAAACCATGGCCGACTTACATACTAACATTGCTCCAACAACTATTGATGATCTTGACATAACCTTCTGGGGCATGAAACTCTGTTCTACTACCTATAACACTGCCTCAAAGTAAGTGTAGTGCCAGGAGACCTTTGCAACTGGGTTCCTGGAGAAACGTTTCCAGTTGGTAAGACACTAAGTTATCCTGACTTTGCAAAACGGTACATTTCACACCACCACATGACTGATAAAATTCATTAATGAGAAGGTAGTCAGAAGACACTAAGAAAAGAATTTACCAGAAGGCCTCACTTTATAGAGTTTCGCTAATGTAGTGGTTTTCAATTATACCTATTCTTCATTTATTCAGACTTCCTACAATAAATATATTCACCATTCGCTTAAAGCTAAAGACTAAAATATTTTAACCCTTTCAGGGTTTGGGCCGTACTAGTACGGCTTACGCACCAGGGTTTTTGACATACTAGTACGCCTAAATTCTAGCGCCCTCAAATCTAGTGAGAAAGCTGGTGGGCCTACATATGAAAGAATGGGTCTATGTGGTCATTGTGCGCGGTATAAAAAAAAATCCTGCAGCACACAGTGCGTAATGAGAAAAAAAAAAAATTTGACCGTGTTTTTGGATTAAAACAGCGATGTTGCACTGTATTTTCGTATGGTATTTACTGTTGTATTCTAGTTTTCCTGGTCTCATTTTATAGAATGAGAGACATATTACAGAAATTGAGATGATTTTGACTGGTTTTACAAAGAAAACTACCTTGAAATTGCGCTCAAAGTAGCAGAAATGTTCGATTTTTACCAAAGTTCAAAAGTAAACAAATCATGCTATGCGTCCAATACACGTCAACTGGCGAGTAATATTCTTTCACAAGTGCGCTGATAATATTTATACCATTTCTACACCAATGCAGTAGTCTGCATAACAGTAAATCTATTTTTTTGTGAGAATATAAATTCAAAGTGGAAAGCAAAAGAATGTAAGAGGGGCATGGGGACGTGACTAATGAACAGAGGAAATGTTATTTTAGTGCCAAGAATGTCTTTCTTGTTTATTCTGGACCCTATTCGGAAATTGGCATCTTTTGAAATTTGTGTGAAATTGGCAGAATTGCTAAATTCTGACCACTGTATTGGATAGCTGAAATCGGTAAATGGGTGGTTTCTTGTACTCATTCGATAGAAAAAATGGAGTTCTAGCAAAATACTGTAGTTATGATTTTTGTCAACAAGTACACTGGAATTGGCCAAAAAAGGGCTCAAAGTGGGCAAAATCGCCGATGCGTAAACATCGTTGAGACCGCTAGCTTCGTGAGAGCATAATTCCGTAAGTTTTCCATCAAATTTCATACTTTTGGTGTCATTATGATCGGGAAAAAATCTATCTTTTCACAAGAATTTTTTTTTTTTTTTTTTTTTTGAAATTTGGCCAACCCTGAGAACAAGTCTCTGAGAGGGCCTTTCGACCCTGAAAGGGTTAAGGTAAGTAATGTGTGTACTGCATATGCATTTTTTAGGCCTAGCTCTATTGCTTACTTAATATATGATAATGTACCTTACCTTTGATATATCTTTGAGCCCAGCCAGGGGCCAGGCTCGTCTGGAGCTTGCCTGGTCAACCAGGCTATTGCTGCTGGAGGCGTACACATATTATCAGGCTTTTATATGCATTTGAAAGTGAAAAAAGGCTATGTTTCACTTTACAGCAGTAGCCTGGAACCTAACCTGTTGTATAAGTGGGACCCTCCTATAAGTTCTGGCCATTACTCATAAGCAATCCTCAGAGGAAACTCTTACAGCAGATGACTGCCTAGTATCTAGATCAAATCATGGCTTCTGTGAGCACAGTTACTGCTTGTACAAAAAATGACATTGCTTTGTAAACTCACTCACACCAGTTATGGAGTTCATGGAAAATGCCACTGATGGAGGTTGTATTCTAGCTGATAGCAACTCGTGCAGTCAAAGGTGTATTCATAAAGCTATCTTCACACAATGTACATCATAAAATGTTACACATCCTTGGTGAGAATGCTCACTGTAGAAATTGCAAACTGACAAAAAAATTCACTGATATTTAACCTCATCTGATTTCCTCTCTTTGAGAGTGGAGAGCAATACATCAACAAGCCAGACCATTGAATCTTCCACCATCCACAACTGTGGAATGTGACTTCACGCTTAACTTTGGAGTCCCAACAGATATCTTGTCTGATAAAAAGTCACATTAAGTGAACTATGGGACTGACTCCACTATTACCCATCTTGTTTCCTTAGAGAAGAGAATGAAGCCTATACACTTGTATACTATTTGCTGTACATACAAAGCATCTTTGCAGAACTCATCACATAAATGCTCAATGACAGGGTTATAGAGGATTCAGTCCTCATGAAATACTCTTCTCATCTTAGTACTCTGATCAATTACAGAAAACAAAAGGCAAAGATTATCCCACACTGATTCCCAATGCCTGCTTTCAACAATTTGTTGCATATCCTTAACCTACTTCAAGGATTCTGGTAAGTTCTGCTTATTAGGAAATCTATGAACGAAAGCTGGATGCTGCTTTCATAATCGATCGTAAACAGGATAGGAGGTTCCATCTTGTTGACAGTATGAAAGACGGAGTGAATATTCAGTCTTCGTTGTAAAATTACTAATGAACAGATCCTTGCTGGGAACAGCTGTGTGACAATACCATCTCTTCTCCCTGCTGTAGTACCTACTCACAGCTTATTTTTTTTCCTCCTTCCTCCCCAAAAGATAAATTCTTCTTGTGTGAGACCATACCGATCCCAAGCATTGTTGAGTTATAGCATGGCCAAGCAAAATATAGGCTTACCTTGCAATATTTTAAACATCCTGCTGGGATGTCACGCTATGGACGTCTGCTGACAGCCACGAATAGCCGAGACACTCAAGTCCCTCCCTCTGCCTCACTCCCACTTTGATGCCCCTAGTGACTACACCTACACCTAACACTCCACATATCTACAGTTCTAAATAAAGCCAGGAATACCCATCATTTCAATGGCCCTTTAAATGCTGTACAACAGCTGGCATCACTAGCTAACTGAAATGCCATTCAGGCTATGAGTTTTCACAAAAACTATATAGTTTTTACCTTTTTTAATTAAATAGTCAACTATATGTGGACAAGCTAGGAAAAATCCAAAAGGCAAGCTACCTGGAGAGGGTTCCGAAGGTCAATGCCCCACGGCCCAGTCTGTGACCAGGCCTCATGAATCCCAGAAATAAAAGGAATATTTACAAAAATGCTTGAAAACATTAAACATGAACTAATTCACTGACAATAGATAAACAGGAGACAATATGATAACTACATAAAAGAAGACAAAAGAATAGACAAGGGCAGTCTCCAAATTAAACTATGATCTTCATTCTTTACTAGAGTACTATATACAATGGTATAAACCTTGGCAATAAATACCAACAAGTTGGTTTAGAAAGACACATAAGCAAACACTGACATATTTATTAGAAAACGTTCCGGTCCTGGGACCTTGATCACTTTTAACATATAGAGGTAGAAAGACATTATATATAGGCAGAGAGTGAGGTGTGAGTGATGCATGGTGACCTGAAGAATGCCATGTTGGGATGAGGATGGGTAGATGATGAGATCATGTGACTCTTGTGTTGTTGAGTTGGTGGTGCTTAGCCTGTTTAAGTATCATGCATGCTAATGTATGTTAGAAGTGATCAAGGTCCAGGACCGAAACGTTTTCTAATAAATACGTCATAGTGTTTGCTTACGTGTCTTCCTAACCACTATATACAGTACCACCTTCTTTCCAATCATATCACTACTGTAACAATTATAGTGATAAAAGAATATTATTGCTTATGCACTTATAATATACCTGGGGAAACAGATACTGACATCTGACATACATCTCGCCGAGTCCTCCCCAGAATCACTAAGGATATCGACCACAAGTGTCCCAGGATCATTGTCATCTTGGCTCAAGTTTTCTTGAATGCCTCTGGGTTTTGTGTCTGCGCTGTCCATCTTGAAAAATAAATAAATAAAACAATGCACATCTTGGAGGCAAAATATCATGATGATAATGATATATGTATCACATTCAACAGTACAGTGAATATCAAATATCTGCTGGTGGAAACCCATTGCTACAATTACCCTTGCCCTGAAGTCGCTTGATCCTGTACAGTACATGGCTTGAGTGATGTGACCTGTCTTTATATATGTACAGTTAACTTTCACAATGAGAGGGTTACGTGAAAGAAAATCAATACAATATAAAATAGTGCCACTTTAATTAAGTAAAGAATATGTGGGAATACAGCAAATCCTCGAGTTAATGGACAAAAAGGGTAAAGCTGGTTCCCAGAAATGGCAATTGTGATACACAAATGAAATTATTTTGCCATGACCATAACAACAACAGGCAATCCTGCAAACAATGAACTTTGTCCAATGTTTCCAAATCTGACCCAGAAGATTTTGTCCCATTTTTCCTAAATCTGTTAAATAAAGGTCCATTAAATCAAGGGTTTACTGTAACTGAATTATGTTCCAGACACCTCCAAATGCTTCTGCAGTTGGTTCTTTATAACCCTCTTCTAACAGTTCATTTATGTCTTCTTCAGACATATTCATACCCATCTCTGCTCACCTTCACTGTCAGAAGTACACTTTCCTGGATCTAATTCCCATTAAGAGGGGGGGGGGAACAGAAATTGTTCACCAAAGAATGACATGAATGAACACAGTCTGCATTTGTGGTTAATTAGGGTACAATAATTCATCTTTTAACACTTTTGCATTTATAAATGCATTTGTAGTGTTAAATTTACACCAGAACCCTGGCAAACCAATCTTGGAGCTGCCCTCTATTAATGTGATGAGTTTTTCATTACTTGTGTATATGTGGCACTGAAATCTCTAAATAACTCCTTGATCTAGTGGCAATATCAAAGTTGTCATATTAGATGGTAAAACCACAACCTTCACATTTAGATAAGGCACAAAACTGGAGGATAACTTCAGGAATTGTCAAGAATGAGAACCTTGAACATAAGGTTCTTTTTGACTAAGTTCATCTTCACTGCAGTAATAAAATAATGCCTGAACCATTCAACAGGGACTCAATCATCCATGTTGCCTTATCAGACTGCCAAATAACAGGCAAGCAGGTTTTTGTCTTTACCTTTTCACATACAGGGATTCTCTGCATGATAAATTAACACAGACATGCACTTTAAATCACCTACTGTGTAAATAAAAGAAAGCTGAAGCATTCATTAGCCATCTTGAAACAAGGTAGAAATTTTTCTTGCTAATTCAAATTCTTGACGATACACACTATTAAATGCTTGAGACCGTAATCATTCTCAGAAGTAATTTTGACAAAATTAATAGGGTAGCATCCAGTGGCTACATGATCAGCTGATGCACTCTCACCACTAAACTTAATACTGTGAAGCTGACTTTACTTTTTAAAGCTTCAAATAATCCAGCACTAAACATACACTGTTATGAATGCTCTATTTTCTTCTCACACAAATTTATAGTAGGAGAGAGCTTTCTGCCTTTTTGTCTTAGCACTAAATAGGGCTCCTTTCTTCATTTTCTCCTCAATCTACACATTAACTTTTCTTTCTTATTTAACAGTATTAACCTCTCTGTCATTCTTTAGAGTAAGTCAATATCTGTGCTATTTAATGCACAAGCTCTTATTTTCTTCCTATTTTTCTAATTGTGCAAAATGGTAGATTCTCTGCATCAAAATTACTGGCAGCCTCTATCACACATTGCACCGCATCAAGGTATACTGTATATAAAACTTACTTTCTTCAATACCATCAGAGTTTCATGCTTATTCTTCCTAGCACCTCCAGCATCACTGATACTATTCCTCTTGCATGCCATGAATATTATAATTCAAAATAGTTTAATGAGCACAGAGTGCAGAAAGTAGGTGATGCTGTTAAAAAGCAATTGTTAGTGGGTAAGGGAAGGACCTGTCTCTCATCACACTTTCTATCCTTAGGCCCAACTGCCCAACCTGTGTTGGAGGAAAAAAAAATTCTACAGTGTAGTACCCAGATTTTGTTTGGAATCTTAACCCAGTGATTAGGAACTCAAGGTAACCTAGCAGTCAGGATGTCATCAGAAACCCGGTGATTAGAAACTCAAGATGATCTGGTAGTCAGGATGTCATCAGACTGAGTCTTATTTCTATTAGGAATTCTTTCATCCTCTACCCCAGGTTGCAATCAACACCAGTTGGTTAACACCCAAGTACTTATTCACTGCTAGGTGAGCAGGGGCAACAGGTGTAAGAAAACATGCCCAATGTTTCCACCAATCCGACAATCGAAGTCTGGTCCCTCAGTGTATGAGCTGAAGCTGTTATTAAGTACCCCCATAATCACCTATGTTATTTTAACTCATGGCAGATTGTACCAAAATTTCACTTGATAATGGATTCCTTCATGCTTTACAACATGTAATACTGTACAGTGGACCCTCGGTTATCAGCCGTAATCCATTCCAAAAGGTCGGCCTAAATCCGAAAAGGCAGAAAACCGAATAATATTTCCCATAAGAATTAATGTAAATCTAATTAATATTTTTGGGTGTCTGAAATGGATTAACAAAAAAATACATTTTTTTAACCCTTAAATGGTCCAAACGTATATATACGTTTTTTCAGCATCTGAAAGTATGTAAAAAAAATGTAATCTTTTTTGTTTTACATTTGAAAACGTGTAAAAAAAACTTTTATCTACATTTTTTTTTGTTATATTTGAAAATATGTAAAAAAAAGTAGATGTACTTTTGTAGCACTACGAATCTGAACGTCAATCTCTTTGGACCGTTTAAGGGTTAAAGATTAACTATAGTTTTACATGCAGAAAACAATGAGAAATAAATATAAAACACAAATTTTAATGATAAATAAACATTACATACCTTTATTGATTTCAGGTACGTCTTGCTACTTCTTACACTTAGGTCACACTACACATACATGTACAAGCATATATACATGTACACACCCCTCTGGGTTTTCTTCTATTTTCTTACTAGTTCTTGTTTATTTCCTGTTCTCTCCATGGGGAAGTGGAACAGAATTCTTCCTCTGTAAGCCATGCGTGTTGTAAGAGGCGACTAAAATGCCGGGAGCAAGGGGCTAGTAACCCCTTCTCCTGTATATATTACTAAATGTAAAAGGAGAAGCTTTCGTTTTTCCTTTTGGGCCGCCCCGCCTCAGTGGGATACGGTCGGTGTGTTGAAAGAAAGAAGACATACCTTTATTGAAGACTCTTTTTGGCATACTGAAGAAGGTGAGGAGGGGAGAGGGAGTTGGGAATCCCCTCCATAAGGTATCAAAACCTTCTCTAGGATTACATCCTTTGTCATTTAATGCCACAGTACATTCATTACTTACCTTAAAATATTTGTAGTCATAATGTAGGGTGAGAAGTGAGTAGTATTTATCTGTAGGAAATCAGTGTAGGCAGCGGTAGATGTAGGTATGTACAAACACACACATGTAGCCCCCCTGGGCTACACTACACAGTCATATTATTACACTACACAGCCATATTACCATGTTCAATGAGTTTAATTGCTTCTAACAACTACCTTTTGATGCCATCATAAACAAAGGGAGAAGTAATGAATAATTCATGCCGAGAATTGTAAACAAACGCCTATGAAGGGCAGTAACTGAGCCAGACGCCAGATTCACAGTTTTCTCTAACGCTGAATCAGAGAAAGCGTAATGTTTACTCTCCACCTGACTCACCACTCGATAGCATATAAACATGCAATGTTTATATGCTATGTAATGTGTTTCTTACATAATTTTGAAAAAAATATCATAGATGGATTAATGAAAATATCTATATTAACCTAAAATAAGACATTTAATGTGCCCAAGAGTGATTATTATTAAACATACATCATATATAAACATTGCATGTTTTTATATACAGTGGACCCCTGGTTAACATAATTAATTCGTTCCAGAGAGTGTGTCTTATACTAAATCAGACAATCCGAATTAATTTTCCCCATAAGAAATAATGGAAATCCAATTAATCCGTTCCAGACACCCAAAAGTATTAAAATCTTTTTTTACATTAAATATACATTTCCCTACACAGAAAACAGTCATGCAGAATAAGCAATACTAAAATGACACTTACTTTCATTGAAGACTTATTGATGTGTGACGAGACGGGAGGAGGGAAGAGGATGGTGGTGTACTATTGTTTGGAAGGGGAATCCCATTCCATAAAGACTTCAAGTACCAAGTTCTTTTCTGGGGTTACTTCCCTTCTTTGTTTTTTAATGCCACTAGGACCAGCTTGAGTCACTGCACACCTGTGGCACTAAATATCCATCCAGAGAGCTCTGTTTCTGGCGTCTTTAAAATTTCCCTATAATGGTACACAACATTGTCATTGAAGATGTTTCCAGCACGGCTTGCAACAGCTGTGTCAGGGTGATGTTCATCCATAAATGTTTGCACATAAGAAAGCAGGAACACTGCAGCAGGCCTGTTGGCCCAGACTAGGCAGCTCCTTCACAAACCATCCCAGTAACAGAATCATATTTGCCCAACCCAATTTTCAATGCTTCCCAAGCAATAAGCTTTGATAATTCTATTCACTCGTGCGCAAGTCCTACTCAAATCAAATCATGTATGTGGGGAAGTACCCTGGCTGGTGTGTGGGGAAGTACCCTGGCTGGTGTGTGGGGAAGTACCCTGGCTGGTGTGTGGGGAAGTACCCTGGCTGGTGTGTGGGGAAGTACCCTGGCTGGTGTACCACCATCACTATCACCCTCTACCACCACCACTTTCGTATCTTTCTACAAAGTTTTTCTTGACTTCTATAGTGTTTCTCACCCTCTTTACCAAAGGGCTGGCACTACGAGGTTTCTTTGGGCCCATGGTGGCTTATTTAGCAGTTACAAGCACTAAAAACAATGGAATAATACAAAATGTATCACATATATGTGTAAAATCGTCCTCAGTGGCTGATAAACAATGGCACACTGGTTGTACATGGAGTGTCACAGTGCGCACACACATTCAGGACAAATGACTAACCGAGTTCAGTGTCGTTAACCGAGCCAATATTTTGACGCAAAAATGTTACTTAATCCGATTATTACTTAATCCAACGATGTCTTAATCCAGGGGTCCACTGTACTACATAATGTGTTTCTTTGGGCCTATGGTGGCTTATTTCGCAGTCACACTTATTAAGCAACCACAAAAAAAAATGGATTATAACAAAATGTGTGGCGGGCGGACGCGTCTAATATGGCCGATTTCCGAGTTGCCAGCCGAAATCCTGGATAGAATTTCGGCCAAAAAGCGGCCGAAATCCGATTCGGCCAATATCCAAAACGGCTGATATCCGAGGGTCCACTGTACTAAGATTTTTGTCCTCTATCAACTTTTTCCACAACAATTTATTTACAATGCAAGAAATTTGTACAGTGGGTGGTCACACTATAATAGGGTTTGCTGAATACATACTCAATCCTTTATGCACTATAGCTTGCTGAATTAGTGTTATGTATTGTGTTGGGAAGCACTAAATGCAAGGGGTCATACAAGGTCTAAGGAATAGAAGCAATCAGGTATGATCTGGGGAAAGAGATGAGCAGCACTAATTCCTAAAAATAGTATCAGGCATCCCCTTTCAAGCATTTGACAAAATATGTATCGAGTACAGGATGATGAATTATTATTATATACATGGGGAAACATTAAAGCTGTAAAGGGAATGAAAGACAATCAGGGTTGATCTAATGAAGAGGAGAGTAACACCAATTCCTGGGTTTAAGGCAGCCCCATTGAAGGCTTATAAAGCACCATCTAAGATATGGTTTTAGTAATCAAATTTCAGCACACTCCCTCTTTTAACACTAATGAACAGACACACAAAGCCCAGCCCTATCTTAGTCATACTGCCACCTTCTAGGATGTAACCCACAAGTCAACTAACACCCAGGTACCTATTTACTGCTAAGTGAACATACCTAACAAAATGCAGGGGTGGGGATTGCTCTCAAGCACAAGTGAAACGGGCACATTTCCTTACATGTGCTGCCCCTCTTCACCTAGCCGTTAGTACCTGGGTGTTAGCTGACTGTTGTGGGTTCCATCCTGAGGGAGAAGATGGTAACAGTTACTGACAACTACACTGCCTGTAATATTCCAGGGGTCAACACTCCTGTTGCCCAACAGATCAGGGTCAGATCAACTAGGCTGTTACTGCAGTCCCATGTACAAACCTCAGCCTTGCTGGTCAGGAACCAACTTTAGGAGTTTATCCAGTTACTTCTTGAGACATCTAGGGGTGTATTGGTAATCCCCCATAGAACTTGTTCATCATCTTACACTTTTCAATACATACAACCTATATACATCATGGAACAAGCAATTCTTTCGTGTGCAAACTTACTTTGGGAGAAAAGGAGTAAATTTAGATAGGTTACACAGCCCATGAAGGCGTATCTCATGCCTGGCCCAGTGTTAACACAGATGGGTGCATTTTTAGGTTAAGTAACCTAATCGAATATCACCTAACCTAAGTTAAAGTTAACGATATCTGATCAAAAGTAACATAATACATAACCTAACCAAGTCAAACCAATTTTTATTAGTTTCTCCCAAAATAAAAATATGCACAAGAAATGCTTACTTATTCCATGATGTATATAGGCTGTATGTACTGAAAAGTCTATAATAATGTCCATGTTCTGCCAAGCAGTTGTCAGTAACTATAGCCGAAGGGATTAAAGAACTCAAAAGAAAATAAAACCAACAGTCTTCAATGATACATAGACTAGGTTGAAAATTAGACATGTGCAACATCTGTGTCTAAGTTTTCATCTTGTTGATATTGTATACCACTCATGTACACAGACTAGGTTGCTAATCTATGTTAGTAACAAGCTAATAATCTGAATAAAATGTTCAAATAACTTCAAATACAATATATCCGACTCCACATAATAGACTTCAGAAATAACAAAATGAACTGGCCCAACTGATTCAGAAACAACGGTCAAAGTCCATCAGTTACATCATTATTAGTAATTATTACTATCACAACAAAACAATCCCTTCTCTATTTACCACAATCACCATTACCAGCTGTCCACTCAGACTATTAATTCTTTATGTTAAGGCTCATGACCTTAGAAAATAAATGATTTTTTTGAGCATTCAGTTAAAACACAAGATAATTTCTTGTTTTAAAGATAGATTAGACCTTACAGATTAGTAATTATAGGCAGACATGAGAGGTTAATTGAGCATTTATTTGGTTTAAATATAGCTAAGTTTATATTATTATTATAATCAAAAAGAAGTGCTAAACCACAAGGGCTAGCTAAGCTTATAATTAAACTTCACATGCATAATGTATAAAAAACTTCCAATGACCTTGAGGGTTAAAAGAAGTTATTCACAAAAAGAGGTGATTTAACCTAGGATAACCTAATAAAGTCAAATAATGACTTATTTTCATTGGCTTCCCCACCTAAAAAAAAATAAGCAAAGTTGCAAACAAAGATTCATTGAGAAGTTCTCCTACGCTATACAAATCAGGTGCATCATTTGACCAGTAATCACAAAGATAGCCAATAGTCACAAAGACAACCGTAAGTCACAAAAACAGCTGTAAGTCACAGTCACAAAAACAGCTGTAAGTCACAGTGACAAAGACAGCCACAAGTCACAGTGACAAAGACAGTCACAAGTCACAAAGACAGCCACAAGTCACAAAGACAGCCACAAGTCACAGTGACAAAGACAGCCACAAGTCACAGTCACAAAGACACCAACAAGTCACAATCACAAAGACAGCCACAAGTCACAATCACAAAGACACCAACAAGTCACAATCACAAAGACAGCCACAAGTCACAAAGCACAGTACAAGCACAAGTCACAAAGACAGCCACAAGTCACAATCACAAAGACAGCCACAAGTCACAAAGACAGCCACAAGTCACAAAGACAGCCACAAGTCACAAAGACAGCCACAAGTCACAAGCAATCACAAAGACAGCCACAAGTCACAAAGACAGCCACAAGTCACAGTCACAGACAGCCACAGTCACAAAAACAGCCCCAAGTCACAATCACAAAGACAGTCACAAGTCACAAAGACAGCCACAAGTCACAAAGACAGCCACAAGTCACAATCACAAAGACAGCCACAAGCAAAGCATCCACAAGTCACAAAGACAGCCACAAGTCACAAAGACAGCCACAAGTCACAATCACAAAGACAGCCACAAGTCACAATCACAAAGACAGCCACAAGTCACAATCACAAAGACAGCCACAAGTCACAAAGACAGCACAAGACAAGTCACAAAGGCACCCACAAGTCACAAAGACAGCCACAAGTCACAGTCACAAAGACAGCCACAGTCACAAAAACAGCCCCAAGTCACAATCACAAAGACAGCCACAAGTCACAATCACAAAGGCAGCCACAAGTCACAAAGACAGTCACAAGTCACAGTCACAAAGACAGCCACAAGTCACAATCACAAAGACAGCCACAAGTCACAAAGACAGCCACAGTCACAAAGACAGCCACAAGTCACAAAGACAGCCACAAGTCACAAAGACAGTCACAAAGACAAGCCACAAGTCACAAAGACAGCCACAAGTCACAAAGACAGCCACAAAAGCCAAATCACAAGCAGCACAAGTCACAAAGACAGCCACAAGCACAGTCACAGACAGCCACAAGTCACAAAGACAGCCACAAGTCAAACACACAAAGACACACAAGTCACAAAGACAGCCACAAGTCACAAAGACAGCCACAAGTCACAAAGACAGCCACAAGTCACAATCACAAAGACAGCCACAAGTCACAAAGACAGCCACAAGTCACAAAGACAGCCACAGCCACAAGTCACAAAGACAGCCACAAGTCACAAAGACAGCCACAAGTCACAAAGACAGCCACAAGTCACAATCACAAAGACAGCCACAAGTCACAAAGACAGCCACAAGTCACAAACAGCCACAAGTCACAAACACAGCCACAAGTCACAAAGACAGCCACAAGTCACAAAGCAGGTCTCAAAGTCAATAATGAAGCTTTTATAATGGTTCGACAGAATTATGTACACTTGAATCTAGGTTATCTTCCATCACCACCAGACAAGTGATAAATTTATTCTCATTTTCCCCTTAAATAAGCAGGTTCAGAGCTTTCGTAAGTTTATTTATGTACAATTATACAATCTTTGGCTGACTGCAATTGTCCATAATAATAATGTGTAAATTACCTAGGATAACCCCCCAAAAAAGTTGAAAGTGAGTTATTTCCACTGGGGTTCTTTTTGAAGCCTAAAATAGCCAAGCTTACCGTCAGTTTTTTGGCAGATATTGTCCGTATATCTTGCTTTTCGCTAATTTCCACTTGTCCTCCTCTTTCCCTTGGTTACATCCATGATACTTTGGCTGTAAAATGATATAAACTAAGAAAACTGAAGACGGAAGCCCAATATTTACGTTTGCTAACTGCAACACCCACGAGCTTAAATATTTTACTTCAAAATTTCAAAGTTGTTATATCGATTTCCAGAGTGGCTATATTACAGTCAACTTGACGAATCAATTATTAATTAAATTATTATACGAAATGCGTGCATAGCAGAATATTGGTGTAGTTTAAGTTAGACAAGAGACGTGGACGACCTTGTGCTGGATCAAGTATAAAATGGAGTCGTAAGTGTGAGGGCGCAACACCACTCTCATGTATCACAACAACACACCATCACTCCATATATTCACTGTGTTTATATAGGCACTTGCTTCATATACTCTGGATGATGACACCTGCGTGAATATCACAAAGGAGGGATGTCTGAGACGTAAGGAAATTATGCGCAGTTGTGAGGCGAGACCGCTCGGCTCATAACCGAAAGTTCCCGGATTCGACTCCAAGCCCGAGCCAGCCAGGTATATATGAAAAATGAAAATTAAAATATTTATTTCCAGGAAATGCACAGTTAAAAGAAAATCCCTAGCTATACAGAGCAAGTGTAAAGTTTATATTTAGGACCATCTACCATGGACTTTACAAAGTATAAATTTCACATTGGTCACAAATCATGAACATACAATACTGTCCTATGTTGATTAGATTTAGGATTACTCAGTGAAGTCAAATAATGAAGCATAAGTTCACTGGTATCCCAGCCAACTACTGTGGGTCACATGAAAGGAAAAACTACATTATAAATACAGGGAACCGATAAACTTGTAGAGGTCAAACAGAGCCTGGAGAATGAGAGCTAAATTTAATCCAAGGAAGGAGGGTAGCTCTAATTCCTTGAATAAAGAGTTCTTTGCTAGGATCAGGACATCCTACTTGATGGGAATATAAATGTGCGAGAAACTAGACAGCTGGAGGGGTAAAGGTGTTGGGTAAAAAGGTGTACGGACGCTGATATATGTATCAATTGATCTTAAAAACATAATATACAAGAAAGAACATTTTTACAGCATAATACGGTAATTATGGAGATACGGTATTTATGTGAGGTTGGCCATTTCTTCTTATGAATGTCCAATATTGTGGTGGTTTTGTCATAGACATTGTTTTATGTTGTGCAGATATAAGAAATGCAACTTAACCTAATGAAATTCAACTTAAACTGACCGAACCCTACTTAACCTTACTCTACCAGCGGTAGATGTAGGACTGGCAGGCATTTATATACATTCAGTTCGTTTTTGTTTATGTTCACTATGATTGACCAAAATTAATAGTCCCTAACGTGCCGCATATCTCAAAATAAATATTATTTTTACCTAACTACTTGCTAAAAAGCTTTCAGTATATCCTGAATCGCTCAACTAGACGTGTTTTCGTTCCCAACTGGGTTCCCACTAGTCTACTGGTGATAAATATTATCAGTTCTTAGGTATAATTCTCTGTATATACCAGATAGGGGCCAACAGGTGTACTGCAATGCTCTTGTGTGTTCATGTTGAGACGGGAGCAAAAAGTAGTACAGTAATAGTAGCATATACTACTCCATATTTGTAGTATTTCAGTAACTAGTACCACTCTGCTGAACTTAACAATTATATCTCCTTATTGTAATTTATATAAATTAAGTTAATTTTAAGTACAGTATTTTTTTTATATTTTATTTAAAAGTCAGGTACAAAATATATGGGTACATAATCAATATGTAACAAGATACAAGCAGTAAAACAATAATCTGCAGTGACTACACAAATATCGAAGAAACACTTATATAATGACATCAGAACTGGCTGCACTCCAATCAAACACTGCTTTTATGTACTGTACTTCACGTGAAAAGATGGTCTTAAACGATAGTCCTACCTAGTAATGCTTACACTCCCCCCCCCCCTTGAAAACATACCACTTTCACCTTAGTATACTCATTGACAAATCTCTTATACATTTATAAGAGCATTGAGGACTTCATTGACAACATGTATAAAACACAATCCAGCCATCTAAGGAATGACTATAATACGGAAGTTCTGAACCTGATGCACCAATCACATTGAAACCAATCCACACCCTAACCTTTCATATACCCAGGATACAATCAATGATCGTGCACGGTTAGTGGGTTTAATTACACTACCGCTGACACGTAAGATCTAAGAATCATAAGAACGGAAGGAAACACTGCAGAAGGCCTACTGCCCATGCACTTCAACCCCTTCCCTCACTTGCCTGGTAACTATGTCTGCCGTCACCACTCTTAACCACCTTCAGTATTGAATTTAAACATACATAAGATACATAAAATAAAAGAATATAAAGAACCACTTATCGATCCCGCCACAGAAATAATTTTTTTCATTTTCTAAATACACACTGCTGGTTCATCTTTGTGCTGGACACAAATATCCCCCAACCCCTAGGCCTTTTGATCTCTTTATTTCCAAAGCTAAAATACAGATTATACATTTCATCAATCCAAAATTATATTACAATAAGCATAAAAAATTTCATTACTGTATCATCCGACTATTAGTGTACATTGTTATTACGCTGAATTCTATGAAAAATTTACATAAGAATTAATACTATATTGACAATCCTCCACTCCTTCCAGTCTTCTAAATACAGTGTACATACATCAATGACATGTCGTTATGATACAATCATAATTAAATTACAGCTTCCCCTTTTCCCCAGTGTACAAGATAAATGCCACTTGGCACTAGACGTCATCAACACCTTACATTTATTCACTTAAAACGGTATAAAATAAGAACTAACATAAAATATAACTATATAACAATTTATTAGATCGTAATTATTTGACAAAGTGAAGAATACCAACTAATATGGTAACAGTACACTAGAAATTTGAATCACAAACTAATACATATTCCCTTTTTTTATTTTTTTCATGTTCAACAAGATATATATATTTTTTAAAAAACAATGTCCGAGCATTTTCAGACTTACTCTGTCACGCACTATTAGTTTCTAATATAACTTATGGCCTCCTAATAAAACATTGTACAGGGCTGTACCTACTCAATCATTAACAAAAACCATCCTGGCAAAGGACACGCCGAAAAGCCACCCCCTGCCATCCCCTGACCCATGTATCTGTATTTAAAAAAACACAAACTCACGTTTCCCTTTCATGCTCAAGTCCGTTACCTGGCGTCTTAAGTCCGAAAACCGTCTCTTAACCAAATGTCACAGTTCAGCCCCTTTACGCCCACCCATCATTCCTAACGACTTTACACCCTTATGCTCCCACTACCACACACTTTTATTCCACCTTCAATCTCCACTAATCTCAAAACGGAACAAAAATGCAGTTTCGGGAGAAAGCCCAATCGCTCTAAATACACCCAACCTAAATTACACCTACGTCAATTACGACTACCCAAGGAAAAACTATTACCCACACCCTCCCATATAGTAGCCTATTTCTGCATACTGTACGATACACACTGCCGCAAGCGCCCGCACCTACAATTCACCCCCACCTCTCGCATGCTTCAAGACACATGCAAAAAATCTGCCACTACATAATCACTGACCTTCGAATGTCCTTGGAAACCCCGCCCCACATCAAAATGCAAAGCCTCAAAGTCGAAATGTTTCTCCCCCTTCCCGCCACAATACCAGGGACCTCGCTAACCATGTCCTTACAAACTCAAAGTTTTACAAAAATATACAGCATGAAAGCCGTCTCCTCTTCCCCACAATGCAGACAAGTGCACGCACCTACATAACCCATTCTATTTCGCGCTGCCTTGTAGCTAGAATTCCATAAAGAATCTATAAGCCACTTCAGAACCGTGGCATTAATCTGATCTTCCGAAAGTCTTCCAAATGCCCTCCAATATTACATTCGGGTATGTAGCTACTCCCTGTATCACTTTACCCTGCCAACCGGTCCTCCCAAGCCTAACTTACCCTTACTTTTTTTTGCTCCTTACTGCCAACCAAATTTTGCGCACCATATCTTCACACACCAGGGAGGCATCTTGATGAAATTCACACACTCACACGAGCTTTTAAATCTCTGCACAAAATTCAATTTAAACCCTGCAAATAATAGAGCCTAAAACTACGACTGGAGAATACACTTAGACCTCATCTTCACTAACAATGATGATTGATAAGAAATGTCACCATATCAAAAACAATATACTCAGATCACAACATAATTGAGGTTCAGTCATGTATGCAGTTTGGAGCCCCAGACGACTTAATGAGGACTAGTCACGAGGGAGCATTCACAAATTCAACTTCAATAACAAAAACATAAAGTGGGGACCTAGTAAACCAAGCTGCGATCCGATATAAGCTGGGAAGATATCTAAGCAACACAGACCCACTTATGCCTAGGAACAGATTAACTCGGTGCACTCGATGTATGCACAAGGGCTTATTCTCTAGAAAAAGGAGGAGTAGATGTGAAAATAGAAAGAGACAGGCGCTCCCTTTACAGGCGACGAAAAGCATAACAGAGCGGCTAAAAGAGGGGTCAATATATCTGAAATGCGTAGGGAGACAATGAGTCAGAGAAATAGCATAGCATCGAATTAAGCTAAAAGAATCTTTAGGAGTCAGGAATCGCGGGAAGAACTAAAAGCCATAAATGAAATCGAAGAAATCCCAAAGTTTTTCTTCTATGCCCAAATCAAAATCGAGAAAACGTCCAGTATTGGGCCCTAGTTAACAAGATGGGTCCTACACGTGACAGCAAGGAATATGGTGAGCCACTCAAGCCCAATATGAGTCAGTTTTTTAGCAAGCGCTAACCAGGACTGAGAGTCGAAGATCAAAATGATTTTTTATGAGAAGAGCCACAAAATTGATTAACACAAAGCCTATCCGATATGTTTCTGGACGCCAAATGACTTCGAAAACGGCGATAAATTTACATGCCCATGCACTCTGCCCCAGGGCCAGGACTCATGGAACTTCTGTGTTCATCAAGGAACTGCTAGGAAGCCTATCACGAGCCTTTTCCATCCTATGGAGAGGGAGCATGGGACACCCCGGGGTCGTCCACAGTTTACTAAAAACAACAGACTAGCCCACTCCCACAAAGGGGCAGTAAGCACAGTTAAAGAACTACAGGACCCATAGCACTCACATCCCATATCATAAAAATTCGTGAAAAGGGTCCTAAGAAGCAAGATCACCCACCCATTAGAAACCCATCAGTTAACACCCAGGGCAACCTGGGTTTAGACAGGTTTCGTCCTGTCTGTTCAAACTATTGGTTCACTACGACAAGGTCCTAAATGCACTAGAAGACAATAAAGAATGCAGAGTAATATATACAGACTTTGCAAAAGCCTTCGACAAGTGTGACCATGGCGTAATAGTCGCACAAAATGCGTCCTGAATGGAATAACAGGAAAAGTCGGTTCGATGGATCTATAATTTCCTCATAACAGAACAGAGGAGTAGTCGTAACAGAGTAAAGGCGAGGCAGCT